GAGAGAGAGAGAGAGAGGAAGGTAATGGCTGTCGGTCGACTCGTAACTTGAAAATTGTGAAATGGCCTGTTTTAGAGAGAGTAGCTCGTCCTTTTTGTGCTCTGTGAATCAACCCTCGTGTTGGAGGTGTTTTAAAGGAGGCTGTTTGGTTTGGTTAAATCACCACACACCGTTTTTTTTTTTTTTTTTAAAGCCTCCAACCTGTCAAATTAGATCCTGTGAAGGTACCTGCTGTCCGCCGTCAGTGGGTCTACTTAAAGTCTCCATCTGTCATAATGTTTGTAGGATACAGCTGTGAGTCCTGCTCCCAAAAATGTTCAATTTAAAACCTCCACATACCAGATCTAACATGGTCAGTAGTGTAATGACATTAAGGTCTTAACTACACATATAAGAGACCTATTGTTCAAAGCTCTTCATCCAGCTGCAGCTTTTTTTCCCCCCCAGCCCTTGAAGCTTCACTCTTAACCCAAGAAAGATGATATTTTCCTGCACTGGTTTAGTTTGTGTGTGTATATATATATATGTGTGTGTGTTTGTGTGTGAATGTGACTTGATTAGATTAGATCAGATTTTACACATATAAAAAAATGCTAATGCCAGATGTGAAGCGATGATGCTTTTGACAGGCATTTGCAAGATCATTATTTACTCTACCTCACATACATATCTTTTATTTATTTATTTATTTATTTATTTATTTATATACCTCAAGAGCAAACCCTCAAGTCAAATTAGGGCAGTGATTATGGTTCACCATGGGGCTGTGTGTGTTCAGCGGCTGGCCCCATGCTCTGGAAATCAGCAGCCATCCCAGGGTAGATTCCAAAGATGTTGTGCTAGAAGTAGGCCAGTTTGACACCACTGAGTGCCGTCCATGCAGATGGACTCACATCAGTGTCTATAAGGTAGCACAGTCCCAGTGATTGAGAGCACACATGACATATTTCCACCAGTTCTTTGTGTGTGTTTTTTACATTTGGTGCTAGTTTTGAGAAGTCAAAGCTCCAATCATTTAGTTTTATTGTTTGGATCAATGTCTCTACTCACCTCACAGAATACGTCGACGTATCAGCTGCCTGAAAGACTTGCTATCATCAACAGGAGTGTTTTTTCTCATTAAAATGCTTATAATAACAGCGTTGCTGGAACTTGCAGTTCCTATGGGCAGGACTTTGAGCTGACAAAGCTGGGATTGGTTGCCAAGATGAACAGAGTAAAACCAACCGAGGGTTTCTCAAAGTCCACAGCAACAATTCCTTAAGACTGCATTCACGTCTTGAATTATTCGCATCATTTGGGGTTTGGGAATTTCAACTCTTGTCTCAGAGGTCAAATAAAACCAACAAGACAGACAACAAAACAAAGAATTGATGATATTTGTTGATGCTTCTTATAGCGAAACACACATTATATTTAAAACAACTAATGTAAACTACTGGAATATATGAGATTTGATTGGAAAATGTAAAGTTTAATTCCTTTGTGTTTGTTGAAATACTTAAATCATGTCTGGAAAGTTGTAATTGATTGTATTTTTAGTTCTGTTGTAAATGTTTGTTCCCTTGTTCTTCCCTCTTAAGAAAGCCAGTGATTACGGTTATTAAAGTTGGTTCATTTAGGCGTTAGGCGTTGAGGAAATGCATTTTGATAGCAGTCAACAGCAGTGATTTGTCTAATATTTTATTGTTTAGTCAGGCGATGGTTAAAGAAACAAGCAATCTCTGTTAAAAGTGATAGCTAATTGTATATTGTATGTAAATATATGTTGTATTGTACAGCTGAAGTTATTAGTTGGTTAATTCATTAGTTGATTGACAGAAATTTAACTAAAAAATATTATTTTACTTTATTATTAAAACATTTTTCAAATAGACGTTAATGGAAAGGTTTTGGACCGATTATTCAATCTAAAAAAATAAATTTGAAGTTGCCTACTTGGACACATTTCACTCGTTCCTCACATTTTATTGACAATAGTTGGTTACTACTCTAATAGCGTATAATGCTTGTAGGTCACATGAATATGAATCTTTCACAGGGATTCACCAATTACGTTATTGGGTCCGATATTGTCCTCATGTACATGTAATTATGATCATAAAACTCCTCTGATACTGCACCAAATACCACTTTACAACTGCGTGGCGTTACATAAGAATTCGTTCGTTGAGCAGGAAGGCAGAGGCGAAGCAATGTCAGCAGTTTGGACATTTTTTAAGCAACTTTCACAACATTTAAAGGTCCAGTGTGCAGGATTTTAGTGATGTAGTTGCGCTCTCCCCTTGCAAGCAGGAAGGAAAAACTACAGTAGCTGCGCCTTTATCTAGAGCCAGTGTTTGGTTTGTCCTTTCTGGGCTACTGTAGAAACATTTAACATAGAAGACGACCCACAGCATCTTTACACGTAACAGGCTCATTCTAATACTCAGGTGATTATACACTAATGAAAACATAGTTATGCATATTCAATTTCTGCCAATAGATCCTCCTAAATGTTACACACTGGACCTTTAACATTGATACAGTCAAAAAGTGAGAAACATCTGAAGAAAATAAATTCATTGTTACAACTGCAATAGGATTATTAAGTACTCATATTGGTATTCGGCATCTGCAAGTACCCAAATGCATGGTCTGTAAAAATACAAACCATAAACTTTCATCAATACGTGTTCCTTTGTAGTGTGAATTTGCATCAACCTTACACCTGACGAGACTACGTAAGTGCAAATCAACGCTGTCCGTCTTTGCGTAGTGGAGATTGAGCCATTAAGTCGGCCTGTCTGAGAGCTGTGGATGGGGCAAACCCTGACCATTTATCTCAGGGCTTTGGCACATTTCATTGGCTACTGCATAATCCGCTAAAGGTCACAGCCACTAATTACACTACTCCAAAACGGACAGATGCCTACCCTGAGCTTGATTGTGCTCTCCTTCACCACAAGAATATTCAAGGGTTGCGTAACCATCACTTGGATGATTCTAATAACATGTGCGCCGCTCACTATTCACCGGAGTGACCAAACGCCTGCCCTCTTAAGATAACGAGGCAGACCTGAAGTCGTTCATTTTTTTCTCACCATTATACGCGTCTATCTAGTGTTTTCTGATGTGTCTTCAGATTGACCTGTAAACTGTCTTTTCTCCTCCTTTACAGACGCCCGTATGTCACCGAGCGAGCTCGGTTTGGCTGCATGCAGGGATCAGTTTTAGCCAAGCGGCGACCTCATTATCTTTGGCGTCCAATCAGTCCTCCGGCCAGTTCCTAATTGAGCCATCAGCGCCTTAAGGGGGAAGAGGAGGGATGAACGTGTCAATTACAGTAATGAGGGGGCAGCCATGCAGAGGGCAGTCAGGGAGAGGAAGGCGAGACAGAAACCTTGCAGTGTAGCCTCATTCTGGTCAATTCACAGCTAATCAAAGAGAATATTGTAGCTTGACGGTGGCGGAGTTCGTAGAGTCAGGAGGGAAGAGCAGTTTTTAATCATTTCTCCCCTCTAGCTGTGGGATATTTCTACATGTCTTGTTGTGGTAATTGTTTAGAGTTGGAGTCTAATGAATATATGATGATGTCCGGCAGTGCTGCGATGTAATGTATGAAAAGCTCCATGTTGGCACAGCACAGACCGTATCGTACATGATTGATTGTTTGGAGTATTGTGTTAGTTTTGCAGGCTAGCCAGATAAATTGCTAGTCTGTATATAATGTTGTTTGATAACGAACATCATTAAGAAATTAACTATTAAAACATCTTGTTGAATTTGCTATCTCAAATATTAATGTACTTTCTTTTGACATGGTTATGTTAATGTTCTGCTATTGTCCAGGTCCTTCTACAGCAGTGGACTGAATGTGCTCGTATTTAGACCTGTAGACGCATTTGCAGCCACTTTTGACCGTTATTTTAAATAAAATAGAATTGTGTTTTTATTTTAAATTAAAGAAATTCATCTTGTAGGTCAGATTATATCATGTTTTTGACATCATGTTGCAGGCTGGAGGGCAGGAAATGGCCCCTGGGTCGGCTGTCAGCGATTACTGAGTTACATCTGTAGTTACAAAGGGATACCTGAACAAATTGTCAAGTAGCTAAATTTAGCCAATAGTAGCTATTGCTGAAACAATTAGTAAATTGGCTCACCAACAACTATTTTAATAATCGTTTAAGTCGTATCAAGCGAAAAAGCCAAAGGTTCCCTTGTTCCAGATTTGTAGCTTGTCTCTGTTTTATATAACTATAAATAGAAAATGTCTGGATTTTTGACATGTGGACAGACAAAACAAGAGTTTTGCAGATATCGCCTCAGGCTCTAGGACACTGTGATGGACATTTGTCACTTTTTTTTAATAATATATAGACTAAAAATGAACAGTTTGGTCCATGAAACGTCAGAGAATAGTTTAAAAATCCCAATTGCAGCATCGCAGAGCCCCAAAGTGACAAATGTCTTGTTTAATCCGACCAAAAGGTCTTAATGAGGTCAGTATCGGCGCCGACACCGATCCAGCATATCAAGCCATAGTGAAGACTAGTTGGCAAGCTGGGAGAAGAGTCAAAAGTATTGGATTAAAGGGTTTATACAGATGACTCAAATTGCATATGCCGCTGTTGATGCAATACATGGCACTGATAATTGACACAGATTTTTGAGTTGAACATAATATGCTGGGTTTTATTACAGCTTCTGATTAATTCTCAAGCTGGACACTCTGAAGTGTTGAAATGTGGTTTGTGGAGGCCCCATGTGCACTCCACTGGCGTTTTCATTTTTTCCGTCTGGCCTAACAACAATCCCACAGGAAAGCATGGACATGGAGGGTCAAGACTATAGGGAAAACTGAACAATCGCCACAGGGCTCAGCCTGTGTGTAGGAAGGATTGTGGGTTTTAGGGAAGTTGGTGCATTTTAGAAAATGTAAGTTGAGCTCCTACTGTCAATGGTTAAACCTAAAATTGGTTGAGAGTTGTAGGTTCAACAAACTAGATGATGGTTTTGTTGCCAGTTACTCTTTGATCTGTATTATTCAGGTGTTTTTTTTTGCCAGTTTTCACTACAGCAGTGAGTCAGGGAAAATGTACCTTTGGAATCCATTTGCAGTCACCGTCTCCAACCAGTTCATATTTCTCTCCTTTGATTAAAGATATTAAAAAGACATATGCAAAAAAACTGAAACAAATCAATAACAATAATGTCAAACATGAAATCAAATAAAACTTTGATGAAGATTGATCAGACAGTTCATAATGTAAATTGCAACTAATAGTTATTTTCATCTGACTCTCTTAAGGAATCAGTTTTGCCTTGTCTTAAAATTGTGAAAAATGTCCATTATAATGTCCCGGTCCCTTTGTTTATCTATCCATCCAAAAGCCAAAGAGGTTTACTATCATATATCACAAAAGAAAAGCAGGAAATCTTCACCCTTGAGAAGCTGAAACTAGGTCATCTTTGGCATTTTTGCTTGAAAAATTACTTAAATAATTCATGAATTATTAAATAACTGCTAATTCCTTTTTTTTTTCTTGTGTCAACTAATTAATTGCCAATTAATCGACTATTTCTTTCAGCTCCAAGCAGCGTTTGATTTAATGCACCGCAGCAGCAGCCACCCTAAAAGCTAAGGCATCAGCATCACACCTGACCGAGTTTAATGAATTGTTGAAGGTAGAATTGTGAGTATTATAAGATGAACTGTGCAGCACTACTGTAAACTTAAATCACAGCTGTGGACGTATTCAAAGCTCTCACCTCGGGAAGGATATGTGCAGCTGTATATATTACTGCTAGTGAATTTGGATTCATTATGAAGTAACTCATTTGTAATTCTCGATACAGAGTCACTTTTTTTTATCTGTTTCAACTGTGACATAAGCATCATTATACACTGCTGAAAACACATTTGACAAACTGTTGTTACTGCTTAAAAAACAGAAAAATACATCCATCTGAATCTATAAGATTTTCACATTATAATCAATAGCAAAGCATTTTTTACCTGCAGTAATACATGTAAGGATATCGCTTCAAAATAATGAATCATTTGACTCCAGGGAGTGTGTAACATTACCAGTTTCTTTAGTATAAAATCTGTAGCTTGTGCAGAGTTCTCAAGGCTTTGTTAGTCATTTGTTCATTATTTTCATTTCTTATGTATGAGGATTTCAAGGTAACGCAAAAATAAAGAAACAGTGATTCAACCTGTACACAAAGATGGCTCGCCAACCTACAGTACAGCCTACGAAGGTGTGTGTGTGTGTGTGTGTGTGTGAACTAACTAACCTGCTCCGTGATTATACCCACATGATTTAAATAATGTCACAGAAATGTGTGTAGCTATGATGTACAATATTAATAGTCATCCCCACAAGCAAATATTAATTCTGTTGACATAGTTTGAGGTATTCAGTCAAAAACTAATGCAGAGCTGAGGGCTTTGTAGAGCAGCCTTGGCTATTATTTCTGCCATTAATTTAGTTAAGCTCTCTATGAAATGTTTCAGGCTGCCCTGTTCACTGAAATCCTTTTTTTTTTATGTAGAGCTGCTCTGCTTTTCCTTCAAGGAGAAACGGCATCGATTGTGTCAGTGCTGTCACAGAACGGCCCTAAAGGGGCTGAAGCATCATGCGTGCAGAAAAACATGCTGACAGTTTTCTTGTACGATCTGATGACTCATAGGTCTTAGTTTAAGCATTTAATAATCCATTAATCCATTCAATCTATAGTCAAGTTCAACATGAATTACCCAATCCTAATTAGTAGAATAGTGCCACATGTATATAACTTATTTAAAGGTGAAGTTATGTAGTTATATGCTAGTTTGTTGTTGTAAATTAAATAAAGTAGTGCACTAGTTACACTCTGGACACTGTTTTGAAAATGTTCTGACTTAAAGGTGCACTATGCGATCTTGCAGTGGGTTCAGCGCAATTATCATTTTTTGTCTCCAATCGTTAGGCATTCCTCTGACCTTTGGATCCGCTTAGCGTGCCTGGCCCGCCCTGAATACACTGAAAAAAACGGGTCTCGGCGGCAACAAACACAGGCTTCAGTTAAACGCTCAAACAAACACTAAGTGGGCGCAGGCTTGCTGCACCAAAATACAAACAAACCAAGTTCCAGCCAATCACCAACAAGATTGGTTGGAGAGAGGGGTTTTGAGGGGGGTGGGGGTTAGTGCGCCTGCAGCATAATTGGGGGCAGAGAGGCAGATAGTTGATGGAGTAGCGTGGAGTTTGCGTTGAGAGAATAAAGCCATTTTCAATATGTAATAGTTTGTAGTTCCTAGCTTTTGAGCTTGCTCTGTTTTGTTTGAACGACAACAGAAGCGACATCATGCTAGATCGCATAGTGCACCTTTAAGCTCATTGTTAGGACTATCATTGATTAGGTGTGTATGTCTAGGTGTGTATATCCACAACCTTTTGATTATAATGGTGTAGAACAACACAGATTTCTTCTGCAGCTTTACCTGGTGAAGTGCACTTGAGCAAGATACAATGCCCAGCCTCTCCTGACTCTCACTGTAAAGGCCAGATGAGGACATCTCATCCAAATTTCAAAGCATGAAATCAAATCAGAAATCAATTAAATTAAGAGCTTTTCCCCTGACATGTTTATTGCTATTTAATAGTGGGGAGTTTTTTAGCTAAACATATTGCACTTCATCAGTTTTTTCATGCCATGTGATGCTTTGAATGGAAACCAGTGCATTTAACCTGGTACAGAGTGTTTTCTTCACCTTAACTGTCTGTGACCCCTCTGTCCTCATAATCAGAAGGCATTGTTATATTTGTTGTGCTTAAGTTAATTGTACACGACACAAATACGACAATTTCTTCATAGCATATCAACAGACGTGATCGATTAATGTCCCTCTCCCGTCTCTTCTTGTGTTAATGTTTGTTATGTACAAGAGGAGATTTTTAAGCAACCTTTCTGTCTCTGTCTCACGCAGGAGAGCAGTGACGTGCGCCTCACCACAACAGCTGCAGGGAAGTTTGTTACTTTTGTCCCTGTTGAACAGACGATGAACTGAGGACCTTCATTCCTCAACTCAACACATCTCGGCAGCATCCACACTTCACTCTCGCTCCCTGTCAGCAAAAAGGAGTCGACGACGTCGCCACATCTGGGCAGAGAAATGTGTGTGTGCGTGTATCCTCGGATGCATGACTGTGTCTGACTGGTTTTGGATTAAAGTAAGAGGTCGTAGGCTGCACTTCCTCTCTCACCTTCTGAGAGGCACTTCTCCACTTGACTGACTACGACTTTCGTCTTCACAACTGCAAAGCATCATGGGTAGGAAAAAGATTCAGATCCAACGGATCACCGATGAAAGGAACAAGCAGGTGAGTGTTTTTGGTGGCTGGTTATTATCGATGAGGGCTGCAACCAAGTGTTAAATTATTAAAAGTAAAGTGTTTTTAATTATTCTGACGATTATTATTCTGGTTAATCTGCTTTTAAAGGGCAAAGCATTTAACCGCTTCTTTTGGTACTAGTTAAAATAAGTCTGTGAGTATAGAAAACTTTCAAGTTGGTATTAAATGATCAGATTTCTAATCTTGTCAATGTATTCTTATTACTCTATTCTATGATTTGGCTGATATGGTCAAAATGTTATCATGATGAATGTCTAATTATTATTTCTTTCATTTTAAAGTCTGTTTTTGAACTTATGACCTGATGCGATGCGGTAATGTAAATGTATCACAGATGTATAAAGAGAACTGGATACGGCGTTGGAAGCGGCAGTCCGTTGATTCTTATGAAAGCCAGTCAGCGGTGCATGAAACCAAAAAAGCCACTTCCCACTGTAAAGTTTCTGGAAGTTTTCTGTGGTGCCGACACATTCCTCGTTAACCTTGCATTTTTGTCTTGTAAAAAAAGAAAAGAAAATGGTTACTGTCAGGCTCCAAGTGACCAGTTAAAATCCAGCTGTCTTATTATAAAAAATGTTTATACTCTTGTTATACATTTTGTCAAGTTATTTTCTTTTCTGCTTTTAAAACAGGCGTGGTATTTCTTAGACTTAGATTTCTAATACATAGAAAATCATTTTAGAATTAAATAAATCCCATGAATAAAATAGGACCATGTATGCTTTTAAGGACCGTTATCGTTTAGATATATTTGAAAATACGTTCTTCATTCTCATGAAAAATCTCAGATCAAAAGAAACTGAGCGTCGGCATATTAAAATCATGTGTGCAGTTGACTGAAATGTGTTATTTTTGTTACTGAGGTCCAGAGGTTTTTTGTTTGTTATCTCTCACTGCCAGCCTGAGGCAGCAGGCAGATTTGAGATGGTCTGGAAGTCATTGACAGGTTTTGTACGAGAGTGAAGTCATGGCTTTGCTGTGGTCCTGCACTGTTTTTCTCTTTCTGAAGCTGCTCTGTTGTTTTGACTCGGCTTTATTCTTGTCAGTGTCTCATTCAGATATCACATTTGCTGCAGTGAAAGGTTTCAAGTAAATCGCGGGGTCTAAGGACAGAGGATGTTGAATTCTGTAAAGCCCTCTGAGGCAAATTCTGATTTTTGGGCTATAAAACTAAAATCTAAATTGACAAGTATTCAAAAACAGGCTCAAGAATTTGCCTTTTGCAGCTCGATTTGTTGTTTCCATTTCTCCTCACAAGTCTTCACTGCATGAGGCTGCCACCACATTTCACAGTAGGGATGGTGTTGGTCGTGCCAAACAAAGTGCTTTGTATCACTGCTGCAAGTTCAGTTATGGTTTCGTCACACCACAGAATATTTCGCCTTATGCTCTCAGTCCGCAACATGTTTTTTTTTCCAATATCCAAGCACACTGTCATGTGTAATGTCTTTTCCATGAGTGCCTTTTGTTTTAGCCCTTCTGCCATGTGGCCCAGATTTGTAAAAGGCTGTATTGATTGTCGTTCTTTTAGATAGATCGACATCACAGCTAGGAGCTCTGCAGCTCCTTCAGAGTGGCTCCTGATCTCCTCCCTGACCAAGGTCTAGCTCTCTCAGTTGGGTCGTCGGATGAGTAGTCATACAAAAATGTTCATTTGGTATTTTTAGTTTTTAGTTTTTTTTTCCTGTTATCACTGCTTTTGTGAGCATCCAAGAGTCCAAGAGACCATCTCCTCACTGCAGACAGATCCTCGAACGTTTGTATAGTAAATACTGAACATGCTTCAGTTTAAATCATCAGTTTAATTCTTGCAACATAAGCTGTTTAGACAAATTTGTAAGCAACATAATTAGTTGATAGTTTCACTGAAACGGTTTGACAAATTGAATTCAGGTTGTAACTGTCCACCTCACTAGTTCCTCTTTAGGTTTTTTTATTGTGCCACTGTAGTTGGACCAAAGCGTGTAGTGTATGTCAAGACTGTACAGCCCACATTGTGATGGCAGAAAGAGTAGAAACCCAAGAAAGACTTGACTGGTCTGAGAGAAGTCAGTCAACAATCCTTGTTATTCTTACAATTAAAGTCTTATTAGTCCACTTTTTTTATTTGATGTAGTTCAGATTTAATCTTGGAGAGGAAAAAATGCATCATCAGAGAATCAAAGCTGAAAATAAAATGTTAAAGTATTTGTGATGCTTATAACTGGTTTTATTAGCATATTGGAGGATGGAGTATGACTTACAAAACTATCACTGACTGCTTTAAAGCTGATGTTTGAGGCTATTATTTAATCGTAGTGTTAATAGTTATAAGTCATAAAGTATCGACAAAAACAAGGTAGCTTCATTCTTGATGCTGAAAACAGACTCTACTGTATGTCAGTGACTGTTCTGGCAGCCAAAGTACCAGTAAATACAATTTGTTTAATAATAAAAGTCTAGACCTCTTTGTGTCTGGATCACAAAGGGCTTATGCAAAGGAAAGACATGCATGATCCTTCTTCTATAATATTTATCTCTGCTGTTTTTTTTTCTCAGGTTACATTCACAAAGCGAAAGTTTGGCTTAATGAAGAAAGCCTACGAGCTGAGTGTATTGTGTGACTGCGAGATCGCTCTAATCATCTTCAACCACGCGAACAAGCTGTTCCAGTATGCCAGCACTGACATGGACAAGGTCTTGCTCAAATACACAGAGTACAACGAGCCTCACGAGAGCCGGACCAATGCAGACATTATTGAGGTAAATCCACCTTATCAGCAGCGAACGTGTAGCTGTGAGTTAGCTAAGATTGACAGTTACCATTGTTTGAGTTTTAAATCATGTAGAAAATGTTGTTCCTGTGTTGGCACATTTATTATTACAGACTTTAACCTTAAACAGAGCTGAGATGCCAGTCAGTATTCATAGACATTATCAGCTTCCTCTCAGAAATGGAAGCCAAAGAATCAAGTAGAAATATGATAACTTAATCTGGTTGATTAATAAATCTCCTTTGTTATGAAAATGTTATTGTTTAAATTTTTCCGAGTGATCTGGTAAAATTGTGACCGCCTTTTGTACAAGGGATTGAATGAGGTGTTTTACTAAAAACAACAGGACCAGTGCGATATGAGGATGCAAATAAGCACCATTTAGCATAGTTTTAGCTCAACAGCTGGTAACACTCACAAGAAGTGTGTGGTTTTGTTTTCCTAGCATGACAAACTAAACAATTAAAAGGTTAAACATTTTGAAAGGAAATCACACAAGTAGTTGCAAAAAACATAATCTCAATGTGATAATCTTGTTGTAAACCTGCAGCAGTAGCCACATTACTGAATTTTATTTCTGTGTATTCAGAATGTAAACATAGTAAATTTAAAGGCATACATACAGTGTAATGTCATCCAAACTCAATTGGAACAACAACATACAGAAAAATAAAATGTATGAGTGAACACAAGAAAAACAAAATATTGTAATTGCAATATCCAGACTGAACTGGATAAAAAATGTTTTTTTTGCAAACCCTTCACATAACATCTATTTGTAAAGCCTACTTTCTACTACCCAAAAGCATGAAAGACCATTCAGAAATAATCAAGCTTTTGTGGCAGGCAATTACAAATTTGAAATGGTAGTATACTCTATCAGATTCGACTCTGTATCAGAGATAACAGAAACTTAATCCAACTAGACTAATTTACACTACTGCCACTCATTTCATTTCTCTTGTACTTTCATAGACCTTGAGAAAGAAAGGCTTCAATGGTTGTGACAGTCCAGAGCCGGACGGTGAAGACTCCATCGACCAAAGTCCCCTAAATGATGAAAAGTACCGGAAGACCACAGAGGACCTGGATGTTCTCTTCAAACGCTACGGAGTAAGTCATCTAAACATACTTAAATAACTAATTTCATACAGAGTGTATCGTAATTACTGTTCTGCTTCTCTCACGACTGCAGACTTGTTGGTCAGTAGTGTCTGTTGTTGTTCTGTGTTTGGCTTCAGTGCCTACAGGAAACAGCTACTGGTGTGAAGTTCCTCTAACTTGACGTTTCACACTTTTTTTTTCACTGGTTCCTTTGCAGGAGACAAGAAACGTTAGATTGTCATAGGAGATAACAGATATATGAACTGTTTTTTGGCCACTGCAATATCTGGTCATAGTTCTTAAGCCATATTTTAAACGGTTAAGGAGACTGCATTATAATTTAAAGTCATTTCAATTAGTTTTTAAGTCAGCAAGAGATTTATATATGGTTATTCTTAATGCCTACCACTGGGTCGGATTATCCTTTAACTCAATGAAATGAGGCGGTGAAAACACTACCGCTTTTGTCCACAAAGGGAACCAAAATCTACAAAAAATGAAAGGCCCTTGGTTCTGCTTTAATTAATATTCTTGACATATGATGTCCTTTTGTTTCTGCCTTCATGACAGCTTTTTACCCACTTTGACTACTCCGTTTGTTAGACTGTGTGTACAGCTTTTGTTTTCAGTGCTGAAAACCTCAATTGCTACTGCTTTGGTTTTATTTTACTACTATACACTGATGATACTTATCTGTATCTCCCATGTAAATCCCACTGCTCACTTAAATCATTGCTGTGATTTATGCCCACCTGCAACTAAATATAGCGAACTTAAAGATCCTTAAATATTTATTACTATTTTAAAATGAATTCAGGTGTCACTCCGTGCATCGTGTCTGTACAATTTGGAGAAAGAAAGGCTTGTTATGGTAAATTTAGTTTATCACAGATAATATGTGTATTTGTGTGCAAATATGACTGCCAAAAAGCATGAGGAAATGCAAAAATGTCAGACATATGTTTGAATGAATTCAGAGTTTAGTTGCGTTTTACTGAAAAGTAAACTGACAAGTTTATTTTATTTTCACCTGTGAAATTACCTGCTTATTAAATATCTTGGGCACTAATTCTTTACTAGCCAAATTTAAGAGATTCTTATTAGAAATGTATGTATTCATTGTGTATGTATGTGTTGTGTCATGTGTCATAAGTTTAAATTAAAAAAATAAATAAATTATAGCATTTTATAACTTTGGTGAGGGATGTAGATCAGTGTTACGTTCAATGAGTCCATCAAGATCTACACCATACTTCAGCAAATGTTTTCGACTATCTTGCCTTCATCAGGGTGGCGTTAAAAAACTAATATTGTCGTGGTGCATGTAGTGCTGGTAAAATGTTTTGTGTTGGGTCCAGAGGATTTAATTACCACTAAGCCACCAACTGTTAAAAGCCACAACATGCACTGAAGCCCTTGATTGTCAACAAAGAAAAAAGATGCAGGCTTTGTGTAGATCCCAAGAGAGCTTGACTCAGTTTCCACAGCGTCGCTCACAGTCGACTGATTCCTCTTCTTGTGTCGCCAACCATGAGCTCAATGTTGGTTTCAGTTTACTTTGGTTAACAAATGGATGCAGACAAAATTAAGACTGAACTGATATAACCAATTATATTGATAATATAATAACACCGATTAGAGAACAGAGATACAATCTCTCAAAATGGTGTACTTCTTCATTACATATTTTATAGGCAGCTGGCCACGGTATACGCAGGATGATAACCTTCAAGTTGTGTTTTGCATCAGGGGGTTCTCTGACTCTTTGTCAGCCATTACAATTGTGGATCTTGAAACTCGTCTGGTTCTATCTCTTATTTTTCTGAATTATTATCAGGTCTAAATACAAGTTAAGAGAAAGGATGTACTCAAATAAAACAGTTTTTTAATGTTATCTTTTGGCATGTTTAGCTTTTATTAGCTGGTTTTATTTGATGGTTTAATGGTGACGATTCAGACAGCAAACATTTGGAGAAATGGCTGAATAAGATGCAAGTAAGGGCCCTAGCTGAAATCGAACTGGGGACGTTGGTGGTATATTGTAGGTTAACACCAGGACGCCCAAGACTAACATAAAACTTTAAAGTACATGAAAACCATACATACCTTGGTCTTGAATTTAATGTAGCAGAGATAGAGCGCCGAGTAGCTGTTGTACGATAAAGACTAAAAGTGAATTTCTCCCTTCCCACTTTGCAGCAGTCAACAGCTCCGCCCCAGACGTTCTCCATGCCAGTCACAGTCCAGTCGTCCAATCAAAGCACACTGCAATTCAGTAACCCTGGCAACGCACTGGTAACTACCTCCTATGTAACATCATCGTCGCTCACGGATACCCACCTCCTGTCGCCACAGCAACCGGCTCTTCAGAGAAATACGGTGTCTCCTGGGTTGCCACAGCGACCAGCCAGTGCAGGTGAGCAAGTGATATTCTGCTGAGTGTGGCGAGACTGAAGTGGTCAGACGACTAATAGATACCAGCAGAAACAGAATGTAATTCAGTGAGGTGAAGAAAGAAGTCATATTATAAAAGTAATATGTTATTTTGATCCTCAAATTACGTTATTTTTGCTCTTTAAAATCTGTCCATTGTTATCAGTTATTCTTTCAGAGACCTACAGTGGATATTGTGTGTATCTCCTTATCATTGCATGTAAAGAGCTGCTTCGTGCCTAAGGGAGTAGAGCACATTCCTCCACACTGAACTAATTTGCAGTGTGTGACATTTACTGCACTCCTCCTCCAATTTGGAAAAAATGTTTTACTTTTGTATTACCTTTTTTAAATTTTTAGTTTATAGCTGTATCAACCAAATATTAAACATGGGAGAACTGGAGTCAATAAGCATGGTTTCTAATTACCCCATTTACACTTGTCATTTCAAGTGTCCGTATGCATTTACAAGTATCTGGATAACATCTAGATGAGACACTTTTATTTACAATCAACCATAAATAGACGTTTCCTGGCTACATGAAAATCATCTGCCCAAGACACTAAATGTGAATGGGGTCTTACGGTTTATTTTTCTTGATTTATAATTCAAGATTTAAAGGTACACAATATGTCCATTGAAGGTTGGCATACTGTGGTCTGTACTAAAATTGCTAATGTGCAATTAAGAATAATAATTATAATTAGAAGAGGAAAGATAAGAACTAGAAAAAGAAATATTAAGGATAAAGATTAGATGTATGTGTATAAAAATATGAAATGTAAACATGTAAATATACACGTCATTATGGATTTCCATTGGCAGTTTGTAGTCAAATATTTAGAATTTGTTGAGATTGAGTTGCAGCATGTTGGGTAATATGTCATTGCTTCCTTATTTTTCTGATTTTATATTTCAAATATGAAAGCTATGTTATTGTTTTTGTTCCTAATTCACTTCCTTTCTACCCATTTCAACCTTTTTCAATAGGGGCTCTTCTTGGAGGCGACCTGAATAATTCAAACGGAGGATGCCCTAGTCCAGTCCGTGAGTACTCCTATATTTGTTCAGATCATGAGTTTGCTTTAGTGAGTTTTTCCAAATCCTTTCCAAGGTTCTTCATCTCCTCTGTGCCATCTGTGATTGTGCCTTGGAGGGATAAGGGGATGCCACCAGTAACATCAACAGACATTCATGGGATTCCCAGCACTTCCCCTTGGATAAATAGTCTGCTTTACAGATCACCTTTTAACATTATGTGCTCCATTTATTTTACAGTTCTTTCTTTTAAATGTTTACATGAGAAGATGTTTTTGTATACTTAATTTTCATTGGCTATTTAGAGTGATTGAGTAAATGTTGATATTTCAAAGAAGACTGTGCATATGTGTACAAGTAGTAGAAGGAATACATTTGTCTCGGGATCATGTCCAATGATCACCAACACAAACAGATTCTGAAAAGATGTTATTAGATGATAGTTTTATTCTGGATGACGTGGCGTTGGCTTAACAGACAGCTTTATTCTGTCGACGTTGACGTATCTTCAAATAAGAGCGTCTCAGAATAGAACAACTGTTTGGAAAAAGAAAGCTTTGGAGGATTATTTTAACACAACTTTGAGTCTGCACACGATGTCTACACCCCGCTGTCTGCATTCACCTGTTTGATTTTCCTATTGATTTCTGTCCATTCGCACCTCTATCACCCCGCAGCTAATGGATACACCAGTGCCAGGGCCTCCCCAGGCCTCCTCACTGTTTCCAACGGCAACAGTCTGGGGAAAGTAGTTCCGGCCAAGTCTCCACCCCCACCTCCCAGCCCCCAGATGGTCAACAGCCGCAAGCCAGACCTCCGAGTCATCACCTCACAGGGCGGAAAGAGCCTCATGCAGATGGTGAGCTTAACCAAGCCGAACTTGTGTTGTCTGGGTCCTTTTAGTTACCATTTTCAACCTTGTGCGATTTTAAAAAACACCTCTGTTAACACATTTAGTTACTTGGGATAATGAAAAGTAAGGAGCTTAACAAACAGTTACAAAACCAAGACACCTGAAACTCATTTTTCTCAATTTTTCAGGGGCCATGAGGGGATAGAAATTGTTTTCATTTTACCTCAGGAAAGCATACCTTCACAGGCCAACGAATGAGATGGAAAACTATACAAAAACATTGGGAATTTACATTGCTGTATCAAATGAAATACAAGAATTTGATTGAAGATAAACACTCTGTAGGAGGCTATTTGCCATCATTTTTGTACCTGGGAGCAGAGATTTGAGCTCTCCACTCAATGTTCAACATCTCATTATTTACTCTGGCAAAGTTAGTGAAGTCTTGGATGAATCAGCCAACTCCCACTGACATACTGATGAGATTTCTCAGAACCTTTTTAACTAAACATCAACCCACGTTAGCTTATAGCCATATTTGACAGTGTATGCTAACCACCAACAGGTCATTAAAACATTATTTCCTTTGAGATCGAGTTCATTCTTGACCTTGGAAACATTCATTAACGAAACCTCAGGGTCCATTTAATAGCTGTTGTGGAGCTTTTGATCATATCACACCAGCAGGTTCACCAGCAGATGAAGTTTGCCCACATTTCCATTTTTCTGAGCATTTTTAACCTGCAAATGTTTTTCACTGCCTACTTGTATATGAGACGAATCACTCGTAGTGACAGACCCACAGAGAATTATCACCTGCAGTTCTACAAAGCTGTTTAGCATCTCTCAGCTCATTGGTTTGGTTTTTTGCCCACAACATGTAACATCAGCCGCAGAAAACCGCTCTGATAAACTCATTTATACTTCTTGCCCAGCCCCAGATTGCAGACAGGCACAGTTAGCGGGTAGCAGGTGAACGTAGTGATGCATGTAAAAAGTCAAATGTTTCCCTCAAGAGTTGGCTAAAGGGAAAGTGAATATTAGGTTTACAATCATCAGCTCCAAATGAATGCTAACGTTGCTCTGTGTCTGCTAGCTGTATAAAGAAGCATCTAAAATGTTCAACTTTATAAGGTGAAAATATGTCAGTGTTGTGTTTGCAGATTATTTATTCTTGACACTAGAAACTGTAGAGGAAGATCATGTGATATGAACAAAAGCTACTAAATGGACCTTGTGGTTAGGAGGCAGGCAGAATGAGATGGCATCTTTTTGTGATTTCGATCCTTTTTACTGTAACAAATAACCCACAGTGATTAATTCTATTGCTAAACAAACCAGTAATATTAAATAAGTAGTATGCCAACTTAGTAAGTAGTTTTATTATCATTTATGTATTTCTTAAACTACTCTATTTACTTTTAACTACTCATATGAATCAGAGTTGTAACTCTCTCTGTTACCACCCTTTGCAGACAGAGGATGAGCTGGAATTGGTAAACGAGGTGATTTTTCCCCACGTCAGTCACTCGCATGAGTCGATGGCTATTGACTGTCCGCACATTATTAGCATGGTTACTATGCTGTACAAGAGTTTCTCATTGTTTTGGTCTTGCTCCACTGACATTTCTTGGGATTCAGCTTGTGGTTCCCACCTGACTGCATGTGGTTCAGGGCTCATGGATGTGTTGTTTCAACATTGTTGTAGCATTAGGATCATGATCTTCTCAGTGATAATCTAGAAGAACCTCCAAAGTATTCAGTGCACAGTGGTTTAGCAGAATTATCCTTGAGGGATCCTTGAACCAGGCCCATTTACTTCATCATATGATACCACTTAAAGCATGGGTGTCTTTTCACTTGGCATTGTGGTGCTAAGCGCCGCGGAGCATGTTCCCTGTTCACTGACACTCACACCGACTCTCATTTTCACCTTCCACCAAAATTGTCAATTAGAGATTTGTTTAAAAATTAACTGGCATTACATTAAAGGCATTTCACCCAGATGTTTTTCTCCCAGTCACGGGTTTAAATGTACAGTAGCTCTAAAGCATTTGCAACAAAAAAGGTTTGTTTTCTTTCTAATCTTTGGTTGCCTTTTTATTTTGAAACCAAATTATCAATCAATTAGTAGATAAGCAAAAACTTTAGCAGAAACAAATTAGATAATTAGTAGTTTTACTCTAGCAAAAATGGCAAATATTCTCAGATTTCAGCCTCTCAAATGAGGATTTTATATTTATCTCCGACATATATGAGCATTAATGAGATATCTTTGGGTTTTGGACAATTGGTCGGACAGAACGAGCAATTTTGAACAAGTCACCTTGTCCTGAAATTACACTTTGTTTTTTTTCACTAGGTCCTGACATTTTACAGACACAATGATTAATTTATTATCGCTAAAAATAATGAGCCAATTAATGACGGTAATGAAAGTAATCGTGAGTTGCAGCCCTACAGATGATGCTTGTCCCAAAATATTATTTAATATAAATATTTAAAAAGAGAAATAAATTATTATATACACCAAAAACTTAATGATGGAGAAATCTTGTCATCCTGTAAAATCTCGTTTTTAATTTGAGCTAAATTTACTCAGAGAGAAGGATGATGGCTGCTGCTCTCTGCTGCCGGGGCTGATTGTCAGTCCCCCCTTTATAATTCCACTCCAAGTTGATGGGCAAGAATCTAATTTTCCAGAGGGTAGTGATTCATTTTCATCACTCTCACCCTGCCGCCCCTCCTCACTTCTTCACAAAGGCAGTTAATTGAATCTGGCCCCTCTCTCCGGTCTATCTCCTCTCTCTCTCTCTCTGTGTAAATTCAGCCTTAGAGTCATAACTCTGGCCGAATGTTTCCACTCAGGATGATCTGCATTCACAAGGTCTCACAATATAGAAGAGTAATTCCAGAGCAGAATTATTGCATCTTTGGCTTTTTGTATGCAGACCTTTTTTTTAAATTTATTTTTCCTCTTACAAAAGGACCTCAGTTTGCTTTTATCTGTGTTATAATTCAACTGAACCAGACTCAAGAGTGTTGTGCAACCTTAGAGATGTGTGTCTTTTAGCTCAGGTACATAATAATAAAACCTTATGGTAGCAGTTTCACAGGTCTAGCAGGATGTCTGCTGCTCCCGTGTTGTCAAAACACTAAATAGTTTGTCATTTAAATGTCTGACTTCATGTACAAACACTGAGCGAGCACCAGGTTTGTACCCTGTTAGCCTTCTCTAAAAGTGAATGATTGTAACATAAAAAGCACAGTTAACCGCTGTGAAGTGCACCGAAGCCACATACTGTAAGACCTTTAGTGACATCCACTGGAGAAACATGAGATGAGCTGCACATTCAGTTCAAAGTCAAACAAGGTCTGGGTCACAATTTGCAGATAACTTCCAGTGCTTGTTTTAATCTGCAAGGACGACTCAACTGTGATTATTTACTGCACTAAGACTCTGTATGTTTATTCTGGATTGTTACAAATCTAAAAAAAATAGTATACAAATGATTAGTCAGTGAATTGAATAATCATTCTTCAGAAAATTAATTGGTTCCAGCTTCTTAAATATGAATATTTATTGTTTTTCTCCTGTGAACAACTATAAGTTAGGGACTGTTAGTAGAACAGCACAAGGTATTTGAATAAGTCAACATAGGTTTTGAGACCTTGTGACTGTAATAAGATAATTGGCAGATTAATTGATAAGCAAAATAATAGTTAGGTGCAGTCCCAGAAAGTATTATATAGTTGTATATATGAAAAAAGGACCTCTGCATTCCATGTGAAATCATTCAAAATTTTAGAATAATTAAAAATTACAGATAAAGTATCAAAATATGACACTTTCACAATATGATACATCAAGTTAAATGTGTTTTTAAATGTGCTTTAATTACTTATTTTTAAGTCTTAAAAAAGCTTGAAAATAAACTCACACAACTAAAATAACAATTTAAATAAATAAACCCACAGTGTCCATTGACCATGAACAGCAATATCCTCTGGCCGAGAACCTTAATTGCACGTTATTCTCTCTCCTCTAATTTCCTGCCATGTCTTCACTGTTACTGTCTAACAAAGGCATACATAGCCTGAAAAGCTACTTAAAGAAACACCACTGTAATACATAATTACACCTGACAGCCGAATAAATTGCCTTTAATGTAATTTGTCTGTTTATGGCACACTCAAAACAAGGAAACTGTTTTTGATGCATGTCATCAAGAACCTCTTGATAGTAAATCCACTTGACTTTGAGATTTACTCGACTCAGTACATCATTATGAATCCAGCCATACGCACATCGCCATTCCCAGCATGTCAGAATTTACATTATTCAAATAAGTCCTTTTTTCTTTTTTTTTTTTTTTAGCTTGAGGCCACATGTAAAAGTTGGTTCCTTGTTCCGGCTGTGACTAACATGTCTGTGTGCTCTTCTGGCAGAACGCCCAGCGGCTGGCAGCAGGAGCTCAGGTGGCTCAAACCCTCACCACACCGGTGGTCTCTGTGGCCACACCGAGCCTCCTGGCACAGGGGCTGCCCTTCTCCGCCATGCCCACAGCGTACAACACAGGTGAACTAAACAGCTCCAGGGCCAAAAATGTTTGTGTTGAGGGAGAAAGCGACAGGAGGCAGGTGTAAAAAAAAAAAAAAGTGCTGGATATATTATTTTACCTCCAAGGTTTGGTGAAAATAGAACAAAACAAATAAAAAATCTGACTAAAAATATAGTGAATGAAAAGAAGAAAAGGTGATTTTTGAATCCTTTGTCCTTTCTCTCAGAGTACCAGCTGACCAGTGCAGACATTACTGCTTTACACGCTCTGGCATCACCTGGCGGCTTGTTGCCAACCAGTGTGTCCACATGGCAACAGCAGCAGGCTGTTTCCCAGCAACCGCAGCAACAACAACAACAACAACAGCAACAGCAGCAGCAACAACAACTTAATCTTGCATCACTGAGCAACTTGGTGTAAGTCTTTTCTTCATTTTCTCATTGGCGCTGCGTCTTTTTCTAAAAATCTCCATCACTCACATCCAGCCTCAGGGAGGATGACGACGATGATGATGATGATGATGATGATAATGATGATGATAATGATGATGATGGCGGCGGATGACATATTTCTGGTAAAAGCTCTCAGTCTACTGATAACCCTCTTAATACTGAAATACTTTACTACTGACCTTGCCAGTCAGCTTGCATGATATCCATACCATGACCTTTTTATATGCAAGCAATTCACATTCCTTTTTAGTGAATTGGTCTCTCACCAGCATCTCACCATCTCTTCATAACATCAGTCTGAATATCTGGTATTCAGTTTTCTGGAGTTGATACACTTCAGCAGTATGAAACATTGTGTAGTGTTTGGAAAGAGGAAACAATTAAACTGTTTCTCAAAGTAACTCAACATCTTTTATTAATGACTTGCCCTCAATAACTTTCCAGGAAGAGATATTTTTCAATCTAGCAACCGGAAAGTAGTACTTATTAATGGCTTATAGCTGATCTATAAAACATTAATACATATTGTATTGACCATTAATTAAGCTAATCTTTATTATTTGTTTATAAATATGGAAAAGAAGGAACAAAAAAAGTTTTAAGCGTTTAAACTCAATATCAGAGTAATTGTACTAGTGTGTCCTTATAATGATAAATCCACTTTTTACTATCATTATCTTTTTACATTTCTTGACTAGTTTTTTATATTCTCCTGTCTAAATTGTAATATTTATATATACATAAAACCATTCAGAGAGATTGAAATAAAGAACAGCAGCATTTTGTCTCAGTGCACTGTAAATAATTGAGGGAAGTAATTAGTGTAAACAGTGTCAAAATGTGACTTCCACTAAGCTTGCGTACTGCTGGACAAAGTGTGCTCATTTTATGGTAGTGTGGCCTGTTCTGGCAGTCAGGCTTCTTTCAGTTCAAACTCACACACATCAGAGAAAACATCTTGCAAACATAATGTACCAAGGTGAGCAAAATCAGGTCAGATATTCTTAATATGGGCTAAGTAATACAAACTATATGTTATACAATTAATTTTATGAGGGTTTAGACAGTGATACATAGCTTAATAGATGTGAGATAATGATCAGGTTTCATTTATTTTAATAAATAATGTAAATAATCCTCATATTTGGGAGAACACGTAGACGCTTGTGTCTGTTGACCTTTTTTACTTCACAGTTACTGTAAATAAATATTTGTTCAGTCCTTTAAAAACACTCATGATGATTGATGATGAAGCCAGAATGAAATCTAAACTTATTTTTGTGAAAGTGAACGTTTCTGCCAGCAGTGTTCAATAATCTTACTGGATTTTAATGTAGTTTGCTGTGTGGATACATTATGTGGGTATTTCCTAGAAATGAGAACATATTTTTCACCTTTTTCTCCCTTTATAGAAGGTTTTATATCAAGATTTAATAAAGAAGGATGCTGAGAAGCCTCTGTATCTGATTAGAGGACAGGAGCTCCGAGAGCTGAATGCTGCAGGGTCCAGGTTTGGTTTTTTGGTAGCATGAACACCAGATTCTTGAAGTGTGTTCTCTCCTCTTGTCCACAGCATGTGGGGCGTGGACAAACAGAGCAGCGAGCTGTCTAGCCAGGTGTCCAGTCTGGCTGCCAATCTGAGGTGAACAGCCACTACTAGTGTGTGCGTGTGTGAAATGTCATGACCTTGTCTGTAGGGGGGTGTTTGTATTCCACTTTGCATATGAATGGCTGTTTTCTAAAAGAAAACTACATACAGTATATGTTGCTATTAAGGTAGCCATAAATTATTTATTAATCTTAAAAATAAACTTTCCAAACCTTTAACTCTTAAAAATATGAAGGTTTTTATTAATTTTGCTACATTTTCAGGTAGGGCTGTTAATATTTAGGCTTTTTAAGATAACAGATATGGCTGGCAGATAGACTTGGACTTAAAGTCCACTGCATTTGTCTTTGCAAAGCATAGTAGACACTAGGGATCGGCCGATATGTTTGTTTTTAGGGCCGATACAGATGGCAATTATTAGTAATCAAGCAACCTGATAACCAATATTTGGAAGTAAAAATTAAAGTGTAAAAAATAGAATGAAGTGGTGTAACAAAGTACATTTATTATTTATTTCTTAACTTTATTTACTCGTTGCTTTGCACTTTGATCATTCTGCACTTTTACTTTTTTAGTATATTTTGATGCTGAAAGTTCTTTATTTAAAATCTTAAGTACAAAAGTATTACCATCAAAATATACTTGAAAAATAATAAAATCCTGCTTGGGAGAACTTTTTTAACATAATCTTATAAAACATGATTTTATAAATAACTACTTGTGACATGTAACTAATCAGAAAAGCATTTTTAAATGAATTTATTTTATCAGCCATCAGATGAAAAATGCTGAATACTGGATCCAACAGTCGGTCTATCCCTGGTTGACACCACACAGTAATATTAGGTAATTCTAGTTATTCTGGGTTATAATGGTAAACAGATCAACTCAAAACCAGTTTACTCGAGTAAGCAGCCTAAATGTTCTCCATCTTTGTAAAGCTACTATAGTTTACTCATTACTTTTTTACAAATAAGCACTTTATTTTGTTAAGTTTCTTTTTATTTAGCAAATTAATGTTGCAGTAGAGATTTTGATACAAGTTATCCAATAAGTTGAAATAGTTCACAAATGTTAAAATATATAATGCAAACTGCATGCTATTAGCTGAGTTTCTGTGATTGATGAACCACTAACAACAGTATAGAGAAATCAAACAAGACAATTTACTCACTTACTGTGCTGCTTCCTACTTTCTGCTACAGCCCTGGAAAACCCACAAATATGGTGGCCTCTAAAGACAAAATACATACAAGAGTAAAAGCCAAGGAGTCAAAATGCATACAAAAGGCAAAAGCACAAACATAAAGAGTACTCCAAAATATAGAAACAATGCATTTTGCTGTCATTTGCAGCCTTTAGGGCTCATTTCTCCTGATTATAAATAATACTTATTTATCCATGAAAGTATTTTACTAAGGTGAGAAAAGCCTGGACAAGATATTCATGATTTTGCATTCACTCTTGTATGCATTTTTGTCCTTAAAGGGCCACCGTACACACTCTTTTGTAAGGCTAAATATCAATCTTGCGTCACCGTCCTGATTAATACATTTATTTTTTGTGGAAATCCTCCATGCACCGTTTGTTGATCAGAAAACAAGATTTTCATGTCTGAATTTTTATGTGTGCTTGAAGAAAAATTCAGCAGATTAGGGTCTTTGTGTTTCTGATGCTCAGTCATTATTAACATTATTGCTGTTGTTGAAGAAACCTTTGCTCGCAATAATGTTTCACACTGTTCTCCACACATGCCTTCTAATCCACCTCTTCCCTTTGGTTTGGGCTCCAACATTTTGTTTTCTCCCCACAGTGTTGGCTCTCCGTCCAACCTGCTCTTGGGTAGAGATGAGTGGTTGGGCCGGTACTGTATCACACTTCCTTTTTCCTGTGTGTCTGTGCGCTTTTGGCTGGCTCCCCCTTAAGCATGTCTGGTGCTGTCTGCAGTCAAACAGGAAAGAGACGTAGTTCCGGTTTCCACCATGTTCTCTAACCCGAGATTATTTTCTGTTTGTCATCTAGTTTCTTCACATCATAGCTGCCTCACTGCGAACCACCCTGTCACACCAATCATTTCATGCTTCCTGGGCTGTTCTGTTGATCTTTAGGGAGCAGTGGGGGTGTTACTTCTGCTTTGAAGGCTCAGCATTGATTGGATTATTGAATAATCGAGTGTGGCTTTTCCCTGTTGGTGCTGTGCCTTGTAATGTGGGTTTATGTCTTGACTCGAGTGACCTTCCAGTTTCTCGTGTGCCTTTGTCAAGTAGCTAATCATTTGTATGTTTTTCTTTCTTGCCTTTCCTCTTTGTTCTGTCCCTTATCTTCTGTTGTCTTCCTCTCTCTGTCCTGTGTGACCCTGTTCTCAGGCCTGTGACCCATATACCTCAAGGCGCCATGCTGACCGTCAACACGAACTCCAGCGTGAGCATCAAATCGGAGCCTGTGTCGCCAGGGCGGGATCGCAGCACCCCTTGCCCTCCTCCATCTTCTACCACGCCGTCCTCGACCTCAGGAGGAGCCATCCTGACCGCACCGCCACAGTACCCCGGCTCCCTGCTGTGCCTGGAGCCCCCGACCGGCCGCTCGCCTGCGGACAGCGTAAGCAGCAACGCCAGCTCCTTCGAAGGCAGCGACCGCGACGACACCGGCACAGCTGGTGGCGGAGGTGCAGGTGGAGGCGGCGGCGGTGCTACAGGAAGCGGCGGCAGCGCCGGCCGGTCCGTGCCACCCGACTTCAGCCCCTCGGCCGAGCTCCTCAGGGCGTCGAACGAACCGGAGCAGGAGGGAGGAAACATCAAGCGCATGAGATTAGACGCGTGGGTCACATAGAGTCACTGTCCACATCTCTCTGCACCCACAGCAAAGTTTTGGTGACACTTAAAAACCCACAACACACACCCACACTCATCCTTAACCCCCCACTGCCCCAAACCCCACTGCCATGTGACACTATCATCACACATCTGCCTCTGTCCAAAATTATACAACTCAGCTGCGTCACCCAGACTTTTGAGGCTTTGCCAAAAAAACATAAAAAAATGTAAAATGGTTTGGGGGAATGACGCTCTGAGTGAGGAGAGGATGGCTTAGTGTTCAGCTGGATATTTTGTCCCTGGTAGGCCCTTGAATATAGAGGGACAGTAGATTTTTAAAGCCTTCTTGCTTGAATGGACTCCCGTATAGTAATTTCTTTTGGTAGAAATGAGGTGTTAAGCCTTTTTTGCAATCTGACGAAACCATAACAAACATTTATATTTCACATGGTTTCTGCATAACCTTCATGTATTTACATCGAGCTCTGCTACATTGTTCACAATGTGATTGGTGGCTTGTCGGCATTATGGGACTTCTGCCATATGACTCACCACTTCCTGCTCTTTTGAAATCCAACGTCGTTTGGATTGTGTGCTGTCCATTCTTCCATAAGTCACTTCCAAACTGCACTTTTGGATATAACTTAGTTTGGACAAGTTTGAGGACTGAGCATCTATCTGGCACTGAGAAAACAGACTCACAGGGGTCTTCTAGGTAAGAATACTTCACCATGGATGGTTCTTTCCGCTGCCACATTTACCAACCTCAGCCTAACAGCCCCTCAGGTGGCACTCTGTGGCTGTGGAGTCGAGGACCTTGCCAGAGTGCCAATATCAACCTCTCATCAACAACAAAAAAATGCCAAATGCCTCTCGCACACGGTGCAGGGACACTGACGAATTATCACTCGCACTGTCACGGAACTTGAAACTGTTGATGCTTTTCAGGCTTCGAATCCGCCGCCGCTCTCTCCTCAGACCGGGTGCTCCTCCCCGTCCCGTGTCACCTCATCTCCTCTGGAACTTGGATGGACATTGTTTGCGCCCAAAATCCAGCCAGTCACTCAGTTTATTAACCAGGAGTAGATGCCATCCAGTTAAATGCATAGTATGAGTTTTTTTGAGCTGGTGGCTTTTTTTTTTTGGGTAGGGAAGTATTTGGTTCTTTCAGTCCAAGTGTTCTTTATCTGTTGGTATTTTGGAAAAAAAAATCTGTTTTGAAGGTCCGTTAGTTGTCCAGAAGTAGGAATTCTGACTTTGTATAAAAATCACTCCTTATACAAAAGCTTTGTGGTCCTCTTTAGCTCTCTCTAGCTCTCCTTAGCTCTTTGCTGTGTTTCAAAAAGTGAAAGGAAAAAATACATTTTCTATATTTCTACTGCTTCAGTTGGCGACAAAGTAAAAATAGCTTTTCAGCTTCAACGACGTGTATGTACATATGAATATATTTGCATAGACTTTGCTAGGTATCCCTAAAAACAAGCAATGTGTTGATTCTCAGTGGATCTGTTTGCATATATGAGTGTGAATTTGATATGTTTCGAGCTACGGTGCAGGGGCTTCGCCACACTAGGTAGTGCTGGTGGATCGGACTCGTTTCAGTAAACCTATTTTATGCTAGTGTTGATGGTGTGTGCACTTTCTGTCCCTCACTCACAGAGGCCTGCTTGGTTGTGGTGTCATCATATTCTCCTACCACACATTTTTAAAAACCCACAATCAAAGTAAAACTTGTCCATAACCACCTTACCATGAAAAGATTAGGACACTGCCATTCACTTAGTGTAGTTAAGAGATAAAATGCACATCTTTGACACATTTTGATTGACAGAATCATGTAAAGTCTTTTCCACATTAAGCAGACACAGATTATGCCTTTTTTTTTTCACTTTTGAAATCAAGTCAAGAAATTGGCTAACAAGTGCTGTGTTTGTTGTTTAATTGTATGTTTTCTAGTACAAATTTGTTTTGTCTGAACCATTTCAAGTTTGTGTATGAGTGTGTATACGCAGCTTGTTTATATAAGGTTTCTCCTGATCGCTTGACCTTATTTTTTTTCTTTTTTCCTTAAGACAATGCTCAATGTTCAGACTGGTGTTGTGCTGCTTTAACGACTTGGTGTCGTTTGGTGCGATTAGTCGCAGCCCACATCAGAGTGTGAAACCACCCGACACTGTGGGTTTGTGGCGAGTGTCCGGAAAAAACATCCTTGTGCTGTGTGGTATTTCCCACCAGTGTTGTTGATGTTTTTACATGATCAGGTGATTTTTTTTTTTCCGTCCCTCATTGACAGTATGGTGGGTAGCTTTTCACTCTTTAGGTTAGTATTGTTTTCTTCTGTCAGTCATCCCTAAACAATTTAACATCCAACACTTTGAATGAACTCACGTTGGAGACGATTTGTCCCTTAAACCATTAAAAGGAATAGTTCTACATTTTGGGAAACTCACTTATTTGCTAACTTTGCAAGAGTTCAGAACCTCTGCAGCTCATCTATAATGCCGCGTTTATCATTTAGACTGTAACAATCGACCATCTTTTCCATCCAAATTTACATTTTAGTACATTTTAGACAAATTTAGAGAAAATCTGCATAAGAAAGTGAATTAATGTGCATTTTCATTCAATACTGTTATGCAAATATTAGGAGTTGGTGCTATTAAATCAGTTCAGAAGAAGGCGGCGCAATGAGATGCTAAAATAAAACAACATGATGTTCAGTATTTGTTAGAGAACTATTACAGCCTCCTTATCGCTCCACACTAATCTGATGTTTTCTCTCGCCGCAATGTTTCATCTCCTCAGTGGAGAAGAAGCTCGAATGAGAAATGAATCACGTTTCATATACATCACAATTAAGTTGCACTTAAGTTAAGTTGAAGTGTTTCCACTCAGGTTTTCTATGCTCAAATTTCAAAAGTTACAAGCAGTTGAATTGAAACACACTTTGACACTTCTTGTAGTTCTTTTTTAAATGAACAATAACCAAACTGTTAACAATAAGGGTGAAAAGCCACCATGACATCCAAATAAAATCCAGTAGTAACACTCATACAATCAATAATCCATGAGTTAATAAAGGGATTAAAGTATTTCTTGATTCAGGCTATTTAAATGATGTGACTACAAGGCTAACAATGGGGGTAACCATCTTGGTATAATGTGGAAACCTGGTCGGAAAAATGAGGTTTTCGTGTTGTTCACACATTGGGTGAATGCAGCATAAAGTTTCCGAGTCATTTTTAGACTATAAACCAGATATAAAGGTGTTAATTAGCTTTAAGTGTTTGCTCTGGTTTCCAGTCTATGCTAAGCTAACCGGCTGCAGGCTGTAGCTTCTTGAGAGCGGTATTAATCTTATCTAACTTTCATGAGAAAAGCAAATAAGCGTATTTCCAATAATGTTGAAATATTCCTTTTTTAAAGATCCAACTGATGAGCAGTACCAGCCTTCAGACAGAGCTAACAATCTCCTGCTTTTACCACACAGTCATTTCCATTTTTAAAACAAAACAACAACAACTAATTTCTTTGGAAACTCTTTGTGATTGTGGGCGCCGATGGTCGACTGAAATGTGACACCACACCGATTGGCTTCAGCACCCTGCTTCACGCAGGTTTGTTCATGTACAAAAAGGTTCTCTGTCCAATCTAGCAGTGTAGTCACGAGACAATCTATATGAGAAATGAAAACCTGCACCCCTGTTACCCGTTGTGTACAATGTTTTTTAGAATCTCACTATTTTTGGATTAATTTGTGCTGGTGACAGTTCCATTGTCTATTATTATGATGATATTATTATGGAGCTTTTATTTTATTGCTATTTTGTGTAGGATAGTCAACTGTTATTTTCTCTTATTTTATCTTCCTTATCATAAACATATAGTACTGGTTTCCTTTTTTTAAACAACTTGCTGAAAATTGCACGATCAGTTATTGTGGTATTAGCAAATGCAATGAAGGAAATACCAGTTAAATGCTGCAATTTTAATTAAGATATAGAATATATTTATAAAAACGGGAAACAACTGAAATTAGTAATTCATGAAATTTGAAAAATGTAAATGCATGGGATACAGGTAACAACAAAACTTATGTTACATACAGTAATGATAAAGGACATGCATCACAAATGAGTTTTAAAACAACTCAGAATAATGTAGCATATGAAATACTAAAGATGAAATTTATAGCTAATATATTGTGTTGAGCTAGTCTGCTTTGGGTTTTTGTTGTAAAGAAAATATTTCTTTTTGTTGTTTTTTGAGAATGATATACAATTTGTGTATATTTTCATATACAAAGTATGCACTGATATGTTATTGAAATTCTATACCGCTTTTACAAAAAAGTGTTTGTTGTACCAAAGTATCCAAGTCCCTTGAGACCTTACCCTTTTTGCGTATGTTTTACCGTATTTTATATATTAAATAGACAAACTGAGTGAAATGAACTTGAGTCTGGTTTGTTTTCTGAACTGTTTACTGTGTAACAAAGAGCCTCTAAAAATAATTCAGATAAAAGACTAAAGTCCCCAATCAGAAACATTTGTTTTAAGTGAAATCTCTCTAAACTCAGTCCTCTTCCAGTTTATCGCCTGTTTTCTCTCTTAATCCTCGGCTCATTGTCACAGTTTCAAACACGTGCGATGAAGCTTCATTTCACACATTAGGTGGTAACTAGACGGCTAAATTTAGCTGATCTCTCGTGACCTCTGAGGTAAACAGCAACTGTGTGAGCGAATCAACAGAGATTAAACAATAATTTAAAGCTACAGCAATAAAACAATCCCACCTTCAGTCACTTCAATATGTTTTTTAGTAGCAACAATAAAATGCAAAAATACTAGATTACTTAGAACAAATACATAAGGATTGGTCAGAAAATTCACTTAATGTATCAACAGTAAAAGTACTTTAAACATTACATTAAACAGTCCCCTGAGAGTTTTATAATACTATATAAATATAACAGATCTTAAATAACAAAACATTAATTGGCAACTATTTTGATAATCATAATAATAATTAAGAGTTCAGTTGTCTAGGTTTTGGACTGTTGATTGAATAAAACAAATGTTATTTAGTTTAATATCATAGACGTCACTAAATTGTGATTTTAGATGGTAGATGAATTGATAATGATGAAGTTAATTCATCTGCAGAGTAACTACTTCTCCAGCTGTCTAATACATGTATTAGAAACACAAAAAGTACCATATTTCCTCCTGTATGTGTCCTCTATAAACTAGAAAAAGTACCTAAAAATTTTACCTAAGTACTGTAAAAATGTCCTTTAATGTGTGTGTCTCTTGGTCAGGCTTGGGGAGTAACAGATTACATGTAACTGAGTTAAATAATCAGGATACAGAAAAAAGGTAACTGTGATCCATTCCAACTACAGAAAAAATATGTAATCAGCTATAGCTACATTTAGTAGAAATTGGGATTAGCAGGATAACTATTTAATTAGTTTTTGATATTTCTTTTCTCGTGTCTTTGTTTGCATATTTAGTGTTGAGGTGTTCCAAAAGTAACAAAGTAATCAAGTTACCTTACTTTAATATGATACTTGAATAAGGTCACAGACTACATTTTTTAACAGGTAATTAATTAGAAACTGTATCAGATTACATTTTTAAAGTAACCCTTTCAACTCTCTGCCCTAGGTAAACATTTAAACGTGTATATACAGTTATAGATTATTGTCTATGTGTAGACATAAACAACATAAGTACAAAATATAAACAAAGCTTATCATTATAAAGAGGCAGATGATTTAGAGTGGCAACCAAATGTGTGTGAAAGTTCATTTTCTGGGTCATTTTTTCTGTTGCTTTTGTTGATTTTTGAAGAAAATGTTTCTATTTATTTCACACTGTGCTCAGAATGATACTTTACTAAATGTGAGTGAAGTGTTTGTTCAGGTAGAGAAGTTCACTGGAATTCTTGCACAGGTTACAACAGGTCTTAAGATGGTAGACGTTTGATATCGAGTGAGGGGGGAACAAAGCCAGTGAAGCTGAAATACTGGGACGTAACTAACAGAATATCGAATTCTAAATAAGACCGAGGTCCCTCATTTGGCCTAAACATTGATTGAGGAAGTATTCAGGGAACTCACATAAATAAAAATATCAGTATAAAAATACTCCTTTATAAGTTAAAGCCCTGCATTGAAAGGCAGATGTAAATGTTTTATTGGAAAAATAGTATCTACTGTTGTGGTATTTTATAAGGAGTACGGTCTAGATCTACTTTATAAAGTGCCCTGAGATAACTTTTG